TATATATGTATAAAGTAAGACACTCAACCTCGATGGTCTTCAGGGGACAGTCCAGGACTGACCTGCCTGTTAAGTCTTTTCCTGTCCCTCTCCGTGCTTCCACAGCTCCAGCAGACCACTGCATTGAAGACGACAGATGCTACCACAGTGTCATAAAAAGTCCCTAGCAGTGTCCTGAATACTCCAAAGGACCTCAGCCTCCTCAGCAGGTGGAGAAGACTTTGGCCCTTCTTGTACAGAATGTTGGTGTTCAAGGACCAGTCCAGTTTATTGTTGAGCTGAACACCCAGGTATTTGTACTCCTCCACGACCTCAATGTCCAAACCCTGGATGTTCACTGGAGTAGTCTGCAGCTTTTTCCTGCGGAAGTCAATCACTAACGCCTTTGTCTTGCTGGCGTTGATGTGAAGACAGTTGACCTCCCACCAGTTGACAAAGTCCGTGATGACCCCCCTGTACTCCAGATCATTCCCCTCTGACACACCCCCAACAATGACTGTATCATCAGAGAACTTCTGAAGGTGGCAGCTGTCCGTGTTGTATCTGAAGTCTGATGTGTACAGGGTGATGCCATACGGACCAGTAGCCTTTCTCGCCTTGATCTTCATGAACCCCCTCCTCACCTGGTCAGCTGTTATGGAGAGGCTGCAGCAGGGGATGGGGGGTGACTCCAGCTGAGGAAGATGGGGGGAGGGAGGTGTGAAGCGGAGGGGGGTAAAGAGGTGAGGGGAGGGTGTAGCTGATGTCCCTGATGTCCTGAGGGAGGGGGAGGAGGTGTGCCAGAGAGGGTGAGAGGTCCCTGAGTCTGTGCCCTGGTGGGTGGGGGAGGGAGAGGGAGCAGAATCAAACCTGTTGAAAAACAGGTTCAGTTCATTCGCCCACCCCCGGTCTCCGGACTCTGGGCCCCTCCCGCTGTTGTTGTTGTGGCCAGAGATTGTGTTCAGGCCTCTCCACACCTCTCTTATGTTGTGCTGAAGGCGCTCCTCCGACTTCCTCCTGTAGCTGTCCTTGCCTCTCCTTAATTCCCTTTTAAGGTCCCTTTGGACCCTCCTCAGCTCTTCTTTGTCCCCTGATCTAAAAATCCTCTTCTTCTCATTCAGAAGTGGCTTGTTGTTGGAGAAGCACCATACCTTCCTGATCAGTATGGTGTTCTCCACGCATAAGTTTATGTAGTCTGTGATGCAGTCAGTCAGACTGTCAATGTCCTCCCCATGTGGACTGCACAGCACTCCCCAGACAGTTGTTCCAAAATAGTCCCTCAGTGCCATGCTGGTCTCCTCAGACCATTTCCTC